CAGCCTCCCAAAGTGCTGGGATTACAGGCTGAGCCACCGAGCCCGGCTGGATTTTTTTTTAACATCTCCATTTCAACTGTAGGGAGAAAAATCATTTTAAGCTGTTCTATTTTATACAGCATAAAGTGATTGACTTTTGGTCCCAATAAATTATATTCAGCTCCAAACTGCAAGTTTTGGTGTCCACTTCTCTGATAATCTCTACCCAGATTTCCCATAGGCATTTTACATTCTTGCCCCCAGCTAGACCCTCTTAATTTCCTGCTTTGTTTGGGGGTATGATGCAGATAACTGGGAGCTACTTTTCCTCTCCATCCAGCTGGTCATTGAGAACTTGTCAAGTTTTCTTTCTAAATAATTTTTGGATCTACTCTACACCATCCCTGAGGGTGAAATGCCAGGTGAAACCTTTATTATTTCCTATTTGATTTATTATAAAGTTGGTCTTTTTGTGTTTTTGAGATTGACATGCTGCCTACTGCGCTAAGAAGACACTGTCTGTTTTTTTGGTTTTTTTAAGTTGGAGTCTCACTCTGTTACCCAGGCTGGAGTGTAGTGACACACTCACGGCCCTCAACCTGCTGGGCTCAGGCATCCTTCTGCTTCAGCCTTCTAAGTAGCTGGCACTACAGACGCATGCCACTACACCCAGCTAATTTTTTGATTTATTGTAGAGATGAGGTCTCACCAAGTTGCCCAGGCTGGTCTCGAACCCCTGAGCTCAGGCAATCCTCCTGAGCCTTGGCCTCCCAAAGTGCTGGGATTGCAGGCTTGAGCCACAACGCCCAGGCTTGTTTTCATTTTCAGTAAATGGCATCAAGGGGTATTGCCATTAACTTCTCCAAACAGTGCTATAAGGTAGGTTTCCCCATATTACAGATGAAAAAAACTGAAGTTCAAAGAAGGTAAGTCATTCATAAGGTTTATAGTTAGTAATTGGTAGAACTAGGATTAGAACCCAAGCTGATCTGCTTTCAAACTTTTAACCCTAAGCTGATCTGCTTCCTCCCAGAAGATGCATCCTTGAGTCTTGGCATGGTGTATATGTACAGCACCTTTGATGATCCCTGTTAAACTCTTTAATCTATCTACCACCGCAGTTCCTGTGCCTCCTCCCGATCCTCAGTTGCTCCCCCATGTATACCCTTTACTTTCAAGCCATTCCAGATTACTAGACAGCTTATTTCAAACTTGAAGTCTTCTCTTTTTTCTTAATCAGTGTCTCACTTTTGTCACCCAGGCTTTCTGCAGCCTTGACCTCTACCACTACCACTTAGAGAAAGTGGCATGAGCCAGTAGAAAGACCCAGGAAAGGGTCAAAAGACTTGGTTTTACCAATCACTAGCCTTGTGACCTTAAACAAACCATTTAACCTCTAATAGTGGGCAGGGATGCATCATGGTTTCCTTATTTGTTAAATACAGGGTTTAGGCTGGGTACTCTTCCATACTCTTTCCAATGCGGGATACCATTGGTGCGTTGGAACTGGGCCATTCCTAGTCACCTTACTTTAGATGGAGGTCCAGAGGGTGATTCTGAAGGTTTAGACCCATTTATAGGAGCTAAAATGGACTAAAGCCAAAGCACTTGTGGGAACACAGTTACCTTGTATCTCCATAAAGCCTACAGTCTCAGTAACTCTAATGACTTCCAACTTGCCCCAAGAATGAGAGAATCATCATGATTCCAACAAATCCAAAACCCAGGAAGTGACATTCTACAGAATTGAACCCAATACTAAATCCATATTCTTTTTGACACATTTCTTGCTTTGTGACATCTCTATACAGTCATAAAAGTACATAAAAGTAGCCGGACTTGGTGGCTCAGCCTGTAATCCCGCGCCTTTGGGAGGCTGAGGTGAGTGGATTGCCTGAGCCCGCGGGTTCAAGACCCGCCTGGGTGGCGAGACCTCATCTCTACAATAAATCAAAAAATCAGCCGGGCGTGGTAGTGCATGCCTGTAATTCCGGCTACTCGGAAGGCTGAGGCGGAAGGATCGCTGGAGCTAAGCAGGCGAGGCTGCTGTGGCCGGGAGCAGCCACCGCACTCCAGTCTGGGCGACCGAGTGAGACTCCAACTCAAAAAAAAAAAAAAAGAAGTACATAAAAGTACTCTATTTGTTTAACCTGGGTGACAGCCACATGAGTAGTGATCTGTAACTCACTGCTCATGTGGCTGCCACCCAGGTTAAATAGGGTATTGCCAGCACCCCAGAAACCCTGTGTGTCCCTTGCAGATCACCACTCTATATCTCTCCTGAAGAGGTAACCACCATTCTAACTTTTGAGATATGTGCTTGGTTTTCTTTGCAGTTTTACCACCTATGTATCTATCATCCTCAAACAATGTAGTTACATTTTGCCTGTTTCAGAACTTCATATAAATAGATCATATTTTATGTACTTATTTGTGCTTTGCTTCTTTTGGTCAGTATTATATTTGTGAGATTTATCCATCTTGTGGCATATAGCTATAGTTTATTCATTTTCATTGCTTAATTTTACTCCCTGTTGTAGGCATAGACTACAATCTATCCATCCATTCTACTGTTGATAGATATTTGAGTGGTTTCTAATTGGAGGTTATTATAACAGTACTATGGTGAACATTCTTGTACATGTCCCCTGGGACACATATGTAGGCATTCCTCTGAGAGTATTTCTAGGATGGTAGTTGTTAGTCATAGGGTCTGCATCTTTTCAATCAGCTGTGACTGTTGAACTTAATTTTCACTGGTGCTTTAATCCATAATTTTTAATGGAAATTTAAAATCTTTTGTTCTCATCTAAAAAGATTTGTCTTTCCTATAGAAAAATGCAAGAATGGCAGCAGAAAAGCATTATTCTAACACCCTAAAAGCAGTAGGAATATCTGATGAGTTTGTTTCAAAGAAAGGCCAAAGTGGAAAAGTACTTGAGTATTTCAACAATCAAGAGACGAAAAGTGTCACTGAAGATAACGAAAGGTAACATATGTAAGGTGTCTGAATGGTTTACCTTTGGAAAAAGTCTTACCTGTGGGAAAGCATACAATTCTGTTCTATTTTATTTTTAAAAGGTCTTTTACCTAATGGAACACAAGTGAAGTGTTTGAAAACATTGATGTTTTAACATACTTGATACATTTGAAAGATTATACAGTAATATTTTGTTTTTAGAGCAGGATAACTTAGATTTCTGACTGACATAATAGCATGCTTTCAAATAAAGTTTAAAGTGTCAGTCACTCAAGTTTTGCAATAAATTAGTTATCAGGAATATTAAATTTCCCATGGGCACTCTTACAGAGTTTTCTTGATAACACATTGGAATCATACACTTAGGAAGACTGGCTACATGACGGCATGCGTTGCAAAGGGTTTGTTTACCTTTCAATCAACTCCCTTTTCCTTTGAAAGACTGACAAATTTCTTCCCCTAGCTTTGATGAAGAAGAAAAACTAGAAGAAAGAGAGGATGGGAAAGAAAATTATTTTATTGATGCCAACAGCCAGGATTCTTGCAAGGAAAAAGATGAAACCGATGAAGAAAGTGGAGACAAGAAATCTGTTGAAGAATCAAACTGAATCAGCAAGGTCTCCTTTCTGTGCCCTGCTGTTGTTCACAGCATCTCATTTGTGATGTTTCAAACATCTATGGGGACATCCCTGATACGTGCGGGGCTGTTGAGCAAGGTAGCCTGGAAAGGCTGAATCCGACTGATTGGTCATTTGGTCAGTTAGAGTAAGGCGTTGCCTATTCTAAAAATCTCTGCATGTGGTCTTATTGCAACTGTGGTTTACTTGTATTTTTAAAAAGTATTTGAGAATCACAGCAATCGTAAACTGACTACTTATAAAAATATACATTATTTTATAATTTTTGGTGGGAAAAATGGCTTAGTATTGAAAGCAGAGAAAAGTGTTGGCCTTTGGTGATTTTTTTTTTTTTTTAACATTTCTGGGAAGCATGAGTCAATAAATATTTTCAATTATACTATGGATCCATTCTTTTTCTCTGCAATACATTTCATAGACTGAATTCTCAAACTTGTTTTGCTAGGTATCTCAGCCATTTTAAAAAGTAGTAAAATATACAAGAAAATAGTTGCAAATTTACATTTACTTCTGCACTGAGAATTTACTGTTAAATTATCTATACCATCATCAGTTTTTCTCTTTATCCCTAGTTTTAGTCTAAATTATGTTGTTATGTAAGTTATTAGGAATTTTTTTGGGGGGGTGGTTGGAGTCTCATTCTTGTTGCCCAGGTTGGAGTGCAGTGGCACGCTCACAGCCACCGCAGCCTTGACCTGTTGAACTCAGGCAATCCTTAAGCCTCAGCCTTCCAAGTAGCTGGAACTACAGACGCACGTCACCATACCTGGCTAGTTTTTGTGATTTATTGTAGAGACGAAGTCTCACCAAGTTGCCCAGGTTGGTCTCGAACCCAGGCTCAGGCAGTCCTCTCACCTCGGCCTCCCAAAGTGTTGGGATTACAGACCAAGCCACTGTGCCCGGCTAGGAATGTTTTTATACTAGTTTTTTTTAACCCTGTGTATTATTACAGATGGAAATAATTATGGCATCTGTGAGTTATAATCTTAATTAGAGGTAAATATCATTCCTGTTTTATATAGGATGAAATTTTGCATAACAACCTGCCTAAGGCAGGTCTCCAAAGTAATTCAGTTTCAACTCTTTAGTGCAAGACTCAGTTGTATCCATCTTTGTAAACATCTTTGTCTCTCTGTGTATGATTTTTGTTTTGTTTTGTTTTGATCCACTCTGTCGCCCAGTTTGGAGTGTGATTTGCTGGGTGATTCTTGTGCCTCAGTCTTCCGAGTAGCTGGGACTACAAGTGTGCACCACCACACCCGGCTCATTTTTTTATTATTGTGGAGACAAGGTCTTGCCTTGTTGCCCACACTGATCTTAAACCTCCAGGCAGTCCTCTCACCTCAGCCTTCCAGTGCTGAGATTACAGGAAGCTGAGGTGAGGACTGAGTGAGCCACCATGACTGGCTCTCTGTGTATGATATTAATTTGATTTTATGAATCTATCATTTAACTTCTCTAAGCAAATTTTTTTTTAAAAACTCAAGCCAATCACAAAGATGTTACAGGATAAGACATTTTCTTTTCTAAAAACAATCAGCTTTCTTTAAAAAGGATGAGCTAATAAAGGTGTATATAATAGCAGTGTTTCTCAACTGGCAATCTATGCTTTAATTTAAGAAATAATTTCTAAATCAGAGGCAAATGTTTACTTGTAATTTCCTTTTTTCAGTTTGTGTTAAACTACTTTTCACTATCATTAGATTGTAAACTCCTTGAGTTACATTATTTTAAAATCCATCTTTGTATTCCCTTGATGTTTAGCACAGGATTGTGCATATGGTAGCTACTTAATAAAGGTCTGAATGAGTGAGTGAATGAATATGGTTTTTAATTATACTTGCAATTACTTCCAAATACATACACATGGGATTAAAACCATTTCTTTTCCAGTTTATTGAGAGAGTGTGAAGCATAATCTACAAATTGTAATAGTATTTAAAATGTTACTTGCTTCCAAGGACTCACTTTACCCTCTCGGGAGTGTAGAGTGTGGGCTTTGGTCATGAAAGACTTGGCTTCAGGGCCATTCTTCAGTTTTCTTATTTTTAAAAGATGGGGATGGTGCCTATCTGGGGTGACTGTAGGAAGGACTGGACAAAATCATACATTGAAAAGCTCCTTGCAAACTATAATATTCGAATGATGGTGTCAAAAGACAATATTCCTGAGGAAACGTTTAACTGTAATTAAACTAAAAAAAGACACTGGCAGTTTTAAATCATTCTATGTGATATCACTATATTTTTAAGAAAGCTTTCAACTTGACAGCTGAAAATTACTTTAGAAGGTGGTATTACACATGATGGTCAAAAGTCAATAGTCAAAATGTTAAATCAAGATTAAGGTTTTCAGGGGGTAGGTAACAAAATTTTGTACATTTGTATCATCTGAATTTGCTCTGCAATTCTTTTTACTTCTGGGATTTTCCATTATACATTGTGAACAAGAAGGTTATGCTCTTTTTCCTTTCCAGAAGATTACCGGATTTCCTAGTGACTTCATACTTACTTATTTCTGCAGAAGAAATGGGCTGGGTATTTACTGGAAGATTAACTTATTTTATACACACATGTACATATGTATCCAGAAATATGATGGAAAATTTAAAAATTATTCTTTTACTTCATTCAGTCTACACAAGAAAACATATAAGCGTGCCTTTAAGGATAGCAGGCATTTTTCTCTTAGACAGTGTTTCTCAAGATAATTCTAATAACTTGAGAGTAGCAAAAATTTCAAAATTTTCGAGACCAGTCAAGTTCCTCAGACAGTCCTCTCGACTTGGCCTCCCAAAGTGCTGGGATTATAGGTGTGAGCCACTGTATTCGGCTGCCTTACTTCTTTTAAAAGTATATTCTTTTCAAACATCATAAGCTGTGTGTATATGGGTGTTTAAGTGGTTTTTTTTTTTTTTTGAGTTGGAGTCTCGCTCTGTTGCCCAGACTGGAGTGCAGTGACATGCTCCCTGCCACCACAGCCTCGGCCTGCTGGGCTCCGGTGATCCTTCCCCCTCAACCTTCCAAGTAGCTAGAACTACAGGTGCGTGCTACCACGCCCGGCTAATTTTTGATTTATTGTAGAGATGAGGTCTCACCAAGTTGCCCAGGCGGGTCTCGAACCTGCGGGCTCAGGCAATCCACTCACCTCAGCCTCCCAAAGCGCGGGATTACATACAGGCTGAGCCACTGAGCCCGGCTTAAGTAGTTGTTTAGAAGAAAACAAATTCTTGTGAAATGAAATTTTTGTCAATTTGTTTGAAAAAATTTAGACTATAATATTTTGTAACAAACATATTATCTGTTAGAAAAATTATATAAATAACTTTTACAGCAATTTTGTTTTTACAGAGGAAAAAATAAGGTCACAGTATATTGTGTGTTTTTAAGATTCTACTAAGGCCACACGCAGTGGCTCACACCTGTAATTCCAATACTTTGGGAGGCAAAGGCAAGAGGACTGCCTGAGCCCTCGGGTTTGAGACCAGACTGAGTACCTTGGCAAGATCTCATCTCTACAGTAATTCAAGAAATTAGCCAGACGCGCGCCTGTAGTTCCAGCTACTTGAAAGGCTGAGCAGAAGGATTGCCTGAACCCAGCAGGTCAAGGCTGCAGTGGCCGTGAGCGTGCCACTGGACTCCAGCCTGGACGACAGAGTGAGACTCCAACACAAAAAAATAAAAATAATTAAATTCTACTTTAAAATCCTAATAATCAGAATCTGTTTAACAACGAATATGTCTAGCATGGTGGCTCACATCTGTAATCCCAGTACCTGAAAAGCCTAGGCAGAAGGATTGAGCCCAGGAGTTCAAGACCAGCCTGGACAACATAGCTAGATCTCTACAAAAAAATAAAAAGAACACAAGCCAGGCACAGGGGTGCCTATAGTCCCAGCTACTCAGGAGGCTGAGGCAAGAGAATCACCTGAACCTAGGAGGTCAAGCCTGCAGTGAGCTGTGATCATGCCTCTGCACTCCAGCCTGGGTGACAGTAAGTCCCTGACTCAAAAAAGCAAAAACAAAAAAGTAACTAATATAGACTGAATAAATAAAAATCAGAACCATGGTTTATAAGATTCTAGTTAAGAAGACAAATATACTAATATTTAGAATATCTGTTCACTCTAGTTATTTTTTCCTTTTTGTCATCTTTGGCAAGTTCTAAGTCTCAATAAGAGAAGAAGAAAAAAAAATTGAGAAGGAAAAATATTGGCATACAACTGCCAAAAATCAAGGAATGATATGCATGTTTATATCTAACTCTGAAAAGATACACAAAAAAATGGTAATAGAGTTTGCCTCCAGGAAAGAGCTTAGGAGTAGTAGGCAGTGGAAGGGAGACTTTGTTTTGTTTTGGTATTTTTCTTTTTCAGCACTTATGTATGTTAAATAAAAATATAAATAGGCGTTAGTCTTATGGGAAGCAATTTCCTGGTCATATCTTTTAGATGTACCCATCACCCCGTGTCCATAATCATCAGCTTACAATTAAGATTATTTCCTCTATACTCTCATCTCCTACCCCCCAGCTGTTTTGAAGCCAATTGCAGACATATTATGTACAAATATTTCAGTATTCATCTTTATTTTTTTATGTTCATTTTTTTTTTTTTGAGTTGGAGTCTCACTCTATTGCCCAGGCTGGAATGCAGTAGCACACTCACAGCCACTGGCAACCTCAACCTGCTGGGCTCAGGCAATCCTTCCACCTCAGCCTTCCAAGTAGCCAGAACTACAGGCGCGCACCACCACGCCCAGCTCATTTTTCTTGATTTGTTTTAGAGATGAGGCTGGTCTCGAACCCCTGGGCTCAGGCAATCCTCTCACCTTGGCCTCCCAAAGTGCTGGGATTATACGTGTTAGCCACCGTACCCAGCCTATGTTCATCTTTAAATGCTAAAAGAGTCCCCTTGTTACATAACTCCCATACCATCATCACACATACAAAAAAGAAGAATTTATTATTTATTTACTTATTTCTTTATTTAGAGTCAGTCTCACTCTGTTGCCCAGGCTAGAGTGCAGTGACACAATCACGGCTACTGCATCCTCGACCTGCTGGGCTCAGGCAATCCTGCCTCAGACTCCCAAATAGCTGGAACTACAGGTGTGCACCACCATGCCCAGCTAATTATTTATCTATTTGTTATAGAGACAAGGTCTCGAACTCCTGGGCTCAGGCAGTCCTCTCACTTCTACCTCCCAAAGTGCACGGATTATAAGCATGAGCCACCACACCCAGCTGAGAATAATCTCTTAATACTAGTTATCTAGCATTTTTCATGTTTATCCTGTTGTCTTACATATTTTTATAATTTGTTTGGATGAGAATTCAAACATTACAATTGGTTAATATGTCTCTTAAGTCTCTTTTTAA